TGACAATCTCATGAGGTGAGTTATCCACTCCTTTTTAACTAATGGAGAACTTAGGCTAAGGACAGTGATTTGCAACCAGATACATCTGAAGTGTGTGCCTGGAGTTGTCACACTGACAGAAAAACTGACATTTAGTAGGTGAGAGCTTGTTTTAAATTTTCCTAGTGTCTTGAACAAATTCACAGAATTAAACTGTCCAATCCGCTACCATCTACTGAGGAACACAGACCAGATCACCAAAGCCAAACAGCTACTGATCACTCTATCTATATATTCAATTATAAAATTCATAGTATCTATCTATATAGCTTTATCTAAACATAAAACTATATCAAATCTTCATGCTAAAAGCAACAGCCCAGACTGCCTTCTCAGAATGGCAATGCAGTAGAGAAAGTGACATCATTTCCAACTCAATGTTCATCCATTTCTGTTCTGTAATTTCCTGGGCACTTTCAGCCTGACTCACTCACTCTTTGAGATTTCATAGAAAGCAGCCAAGCCCTTTTCCAGTGCCCATTCTGCCACATCTGTTTAGGGGTCCACTTTACTACCTATGTGATTATGGTAACCCATGGAGTTTCACTTGTTCTGTTCTTTCACCCATGATACTATTGCCTGACCAGACAGACACACGAACTACACTTTTTTCCTGTCAAACATCTTCTTAAATGACTTCTGGGACAAAAACACCTCTGGGCTAAAATTCAGTTGGCTTACTCTTCCTCTCCCTCTCCCTCTCCCCTCTCCCTCTCCCTCTCTCTGTGTGTATACATGATGTGATGTGTGCAGGTCCACATGTATGTACATGCATATAGCCTCTAGGCTAACCTCAAAAGCTGTTCATCTTGTTTTTTGAGACAGTGTTTCTCACTAGAACCTGAAGTTCACCCATTTTCCTAGACAGCCCAGCTACCTCGCCAGCACTTGAATGCCAAGTACACATGGGTTTTATGCTTGCAAGGCAAGTACATTACTAACCAAGCTATCTTCCCAGCCCTCTAATTAGCTTGTTTCTACTCTCAACTCAATTAGGGTCGTTATTCCAATCAGGACTTTTCCCCAACATTCCCTCAATCTACTATCATTTCCTAAACCATGGTGATGCCCACAGTTTTCCCTGCTCGGAGCTTTTCTAATTCTTCATATTGCCATTCTGCATCCTTATCTACCAATGCATAGAAATGCTTAACAAGGGCTGGAATTTAATCTAGGATCTGACTTTGTGGAGACTGTGAATCTCTATACAAGTTTCTATAGCAATGTTTAACTAGTTCCAGCCCTTGTATTAGAGCAAGAAGCCTTTAGAAGGGTCATATATCCACTTCTTTTGAATTACTGGCCTAGACTCATGGGAATCTGAAATCATAGAACTGCTTTTGACTGAATCATCCAACATAGTACCTGCAATTTAAAGACAAAGACCAATTCCTTGTGGGAAAAAAAAAAGGCAAAAATAGGGCTGGAGAGATGGCTCAGTGATTAAGAGCACAGGCTGCTCTTCCAGAGGACACAGGTCAGTTTCCAGCATGGCAGTTCACAACTGTCTGTAATTCCAGTTCCAGGGAATCTGACACCCTCACACAGACATACATACAGGCAAAACACGAATGCTCATAAAAAAAAATAAGAATAAATAAATCATTTTTAAAAACTGCTATAAAAGAAAAAAAGGTAAGAACTAGAGTTCAGGCCCCACAGACTACCATCCAATATTTGGGCCTTGTTATGCCTTGTAAAACGAGCTTCCAGATACAGAGACCATTCTGTAACCCTGTATGAAACACTGCATTGCAAATGAAGACTTCACCTCATGGAAACAGACTGTCCAGTACCCTGAACTTTGCACAAGTCAAGAGCACAAGAAAGGAGGTTATCTGATAGTTTCCTCTTTTACTGCACATTCAGTAAATTTGAAGTTCTAGTTTTCCTTAGTCCTTTTTAAATAGTAACAATAAAAGGCCCTAATTTTAGTCCCACCCTTGTTTATAGAAAAAATTTTACAGTAAAATATGAGCAAGGCCATGCTAACTTAAGATGAAGCAATGTGCAATTCCACATGAGACCCAGAGTCTAAAACAGACAATAGCACTATGAGTTCAAATGCCTCTACTCTTTAGTATGGCCTCTCTTTCCAACATTGATATCTAGATTACTCCTAAAACTCAAATTTTATTTATTTCCCTGTGGCAAATAATGGAAAATAAATCATATCACTATTATATGATGACCTGGTATATAAAATTATGTTTCCCTGTTTCTTATCAGTAAACACATGGCAACTTCATATCCTCCTCAGAGGCCAAGAAGGTTGATGAAACAAAATGGTATCATCCATCATGTGTTGTACATTAATGCAATAAATAGATTAGATATTTTGCCTCAATGTTGGTTAGCTATTCGTTAAGGATTTGATTTTCACTACCCTTAAATGTCACCCTTAGATATCAGATATAGTTTACTCAATCAGTCTTTTGGATGTGTTTTGCTTTCAACTCCATGTAAGCCAGTCAACTCAGGCTACTCTGCCACCATTTATGAAGGTAAACAAACAGGCTATGTTTGCATTTGGAATCCCAAAAGTCCAATTCCACTTAAGAAATTATTTATTATTTTGCTATATAATTAAGCAAATGATATTTAGAAGTATTCTTCTTTCCTAAAACACCTTTTTGGGAAAACATTCTAGACAATAAAAATCTAAAATGAGAATGCACACAAGGACTAGAAGAAACCAGTTAGAAAGAGGAAACCAGAACAAACATGATAGTAGGCAGGCCTGCAACAAATAGGAAAGATAAACCAATATGGAGTTCTAAAATGACAATGGATACACTTAGATATCTGTCTAGTTTCAAAAAACATTAAGAAAAAACTTAATATGTTTGTTAAACTTTTCAAAAGGCCTCTGCGGTTTTCTATTATAAATCAGAGTCACAATAGACAAAGCTCTAGGCTCATCTAGTACTTTATCCTCACTGGAGGAATGACTAGGGGTGGGGTGGATGGGTGTGGGGGACTGCTGATAAGCAAGCTGATTTGCCAATCTAGAAAGTTGGGGTAAAACTCTAGAGGGGAAAAGCAGCAGAGACTTGGTCAACAGGTCCCAGGGTTTCATTCTAAACACAGCAACTTCTAGAAGAAAGTGAGTGTCCCTGGAATCAGAAGTTGGCTGCCACTCACTAATGTTTAACCATAAAAAGACATATAAGCCCAAATGCCCATGTGGGTAATCATTCTGGGCACCTGATCCTTCGAACTAGCAATTACCCTAGACCTGACTTGTTAATGGTTCTGTTGGGTCCACTTGCTAATTATGTAAATTAGAGCTTAAGGTGTTGGTAAGACAAATAGCTACAACTGCTTTACAGTCAGTTTTGCTGGTGGCACATATAATTAAATATCAAAAGGCTGTTAAAAAGTTATATAATAAAACTGCTGAGGCCAGAGAAAGCAGAAAGAAAAAAAGGAAAAAACAAACAAGCAAACAAACAAACGCAGAAACAAAAAAACTCCTTCAAAAGGAAATCAAAAGGATCTAAAAATAACTGGTTAAATTCATTATTTTTTCTTCGGACACATAACAGAATTCTTTTGTCGGAGGGAAAAACATTGCAGTTCCAAATAGTCCTTCTAGAACAATGCCCTGTGGCCCTGAAACCAAATTTCGCTGAACACTAAGATAATTAATTATTCCTATCTTTACAAAACTAAGATAGAGCGTATTTGTATAAATAAAAGCATCCAAGCAGTTGAAGTCAACAGTTTAGCTGTCTGGCCAAGAGCAGTTTGTGAATGCTGCAGGAAGCACCAATTTCGGCTTTACCATTAGAGACAGGCCTGAATTGCCTGTGTTCACTATGCACTTCCCTGAAAAGTCAAGCTTGCAAGACAGCATCCTCAGAGTTAAATATGAGGAGTATTGTGATGTCATAAAGGACTCTGAAGTGTTTTAAAAGATCCTTAGTGAAATTCCTGATTCATGTCTACATCAAATGCTGGAAAACCTGAAATGTAAATAGAATAGGCCCAGCCCCTCCCATAACCACCACCAACCCTTTTTTGTCAACAATAATGTCCAGTGGAGATCACTGGTTGGCTTGCTGGTTTATTACCAGCATAGCATCTCAATAATGGGCTAGTCAACTATGTTTAAATGTCAGAGTGAAAACAATTGCACATTTTATTTGAAGTTAAATAGTATAAAAGAGGAAGTAAAAAAAAAAAGTCTTCATTGTTCAGACCAGAAAGATGTTATTGAAAAATTCTTGTAAAGAATCTGAAAAATCCCTATGTCAAAGCTATACAATTGACATATAACCAGAAAAAAAAAAAACAGTATTTTTCTACATGCTCATGTACTTAGTAGCTTTGGCTACACATAACAAATAGACAACAAAAGGCAAACTCTGTCACATAGTACATTTATAGCTATGCATTTTCCAAAACAATGCCCTAGAAATCTCTAGAAATAGTAGCCCTTCTTATTTATAGAAAACTAACTTGATAATTTGTCATCAGTTAATGTTTTTCTCTGGGTGGACAAATGGAAAACAAATCAAATTCAAATCCAGCTCCTAATTAATGAGATTGAGGGACAGTTAACGTTCAACAGCCACCATACACATTTGACAAGCAGCTGACACTGCAAGGTACTCACCATACTTTGCTCTCCCAACTTTATCTTTAGGCACTGGGCATTAATCCCCTAACACAAGTATTCCCCTCAGGATCCTGGAGCCATTACAAACAATTAGTTACTACAACAAACTTTAAACTGATGTTTTGATTCCTGTTTAGGAACTCCTGAGAGCCCAGAGTAGTCCTCACAGCAGCATACCAACTACAAAATAGCTATAAGGGAAAGCCTTATAATACAGACCCGATGAGGAAAAACAGGATTAATGAGCAATACAGGAGGACTGGGGATGAGAAAGCAAGCAAACCAAAATATTTCTTTTCCATCTTTCTTTTGTTTTTTTCTATTAAAGAAAGGATACAGCCTTAAAGCACCAGTCTGAGTTCCTACTGCCAGGATCTTCTGTACGGGATCAAAGGCCAGGGCTGAGGGCTGATAGGGGAATCCGTGGCGAACAGTCTGGGGATGGGCAGTGACATCACAGGAACCAAGGCAGCAGGCAAAATCCAAAAACAGAACAGCCCACAGGGGCGTTAGACTTGAAACCAACTACTATTGACACAAAGCACACACCACAGGAACTTACCACTTTAAGGGGGGAAATGAGGGTTGGAGGGTGGACTCTATCCTAAGGATCACAGCGCCAGAAGCACAAACCTACTTATTTAAGCTCCTGCTTTGCTACAATGCTAGTTAACTCCACAGAGGGCCATTCCCTGTGAATAGCGGATAGTATATTCCTTTTGAAGACACGTTGCTCAAGTTTGTAGTGGTTCGAAATTCTGTAAAATCCTTGCAAAAGGTGATTCGTGTTGCATCTCAAGAGAAAGCATAGAAATCAAAGCTTTGTTTGAATGCTAAAGGGGGGGTAGATGTCTAAGAAAAAGTTGTCAGGAAACTAATTGAAGGATTTAGTCAAAGAAGCATCAACCTCAGGATCAACATTTGCAATTCTAACTATGGAAATGGGCGCAAAAAAAATCTTACAATTTTCTACTAAGGCTGGAATAAGTTTAGGACATAAAAACAAAAATTGTATGCAGGCTTGTAAGCCCGCGACACAGGAAGGACCAAATGGCTATCTATGAGGCAGGCAGGTCTGGATACGGAGGCTCCTGTGCTTTTCTCATTGTGCAGCTGGGGAATTAATCCGCTGCATCATTCTTTCTGAATTACAGGACCGTGTGGCAATCATCTTGCCATTCACAGACCAAAAACAAACAAACAAACAAACAAACAAAACCAAACAAAAAAACCTCTGCACTAACTTTTTAACCAAACAAGCTGAAAAATCCTGTGACTTCAGATAGTGAGCCACTCGCCCGCATTCTAAAAAGTGATGCGCAAAAAAGATCTGGTTGAACAGGTTTGCCTTGCCCACAAACGACGTTCATCACACGGGGCTGGAAAATTTCGACGTCAGTGGAAGATAATAAAATATGCGCGAATATAAAAGTATTTCCAGACCATTGTGGCCAGTGCCTGGATGGGAATTAAAGACAAGGGGTGGGTATGTTTAGGGTGCCTTGAAATGATCGCTTTTTTTTTTTTTTATGAAAAGGGAAAGACATCGACTAAAAGAAGTAGGGAATCTCTGCCCCAAATCCCCCAACCAGGCACGTCTGTCATGGGGGGGGGGGGCTTCCTAGAGCTCTGAGCTCTATTGGCGCGCTCTGCCCTCCCGCTCCCAGGTACTGCCCAGCGGCCCCCTCAAACGACCCCAATCTTCCCAAGACAGCTCGGCGGGGCTGCGCGCTCCCTTCACCTTGCAGAGTTGGAAGTGTTCGGACTGGAGCGTCTCCTGGATCTCGGGCTCCCGGTTCCCAGGCTGGTGCTGCTGCTGTTGCTGCTGTTGCGAGGCCGAGGACGAGCCTGCGGTCAGGCCGTCCAGCACCTTCCTGATGTTGAATTTCCTCATGGTCTCACCACCCAGAGGTCGGTCTGTCTGTCGGTCTCCTCGAGGGCCCCGGGGCAGCGGTGGCACCGGGGGGGAGGGAG